AAAAAATTAGGCTCCAGAAATGGATGGAATACCAATTGACATATTTCAACAAACAGACTCTGCTCTGGATGTACTCAGCAAGTTGTGCCAAGAAATCTGGAGGACAACCACCTGGTCAACTGACTGGAAGAGATCTATATTTTTCTCATCCCAAAGGAAGGTGACCAAACAGAGTACAGACATTCTCGAACAATATCCTTAATATCACTTGCAAGCAAGATTCTAGTGAAAATTATCCAAAAGCAACTGAAACAGAACATCAACAGAGAAGAGGCAGTGGTAGTAGGGATAATGTAGCTAATGTTAGATGGATTTTGGCTGAAAGCAGAGAGTACCAAAGGAATTCCTATCTGTGTTTCATTGACTATGCAAGTGGGTTCTGAGCAGTGTGAACAACAGTATGTCCTCCACCTAGTTTGTTAATTATTTTAAAAGTCAGCTAAATAAAAAAAAATGCTTTGAAAAAGCTGAAAATACTGTAATGTAGAAATGTAGAAGCATTATCAAGATCTGCTTTTCTAAATTTGAAAAGAAATTCTTTTTATTTGTCATTCTGCTATGTTCAAAGTATTCAGAAAGCATTGTTTTCTTGACAGGAACTGACACTTGTCACATATCTCTAGTGGGAAATCAAGTGAAGAAGTGAGCAAACTTTCACATAAGTAATTTTAAATTTGACCAGTAAACTAACTAATACATCAACTCCCTGTATGTAACCATCAGTAATACTTTTTATTTTTTAAAGTTCTTGAGCTGTACATCACGATTTTTCTAACAGTTGCTGCAAAGGGGATTCCTCCAATTGAACCACGCTGTCAGCTCTGCAGAGAAGCATCTGGAATTGGAAGCATGGCGTGCAACCACTGTAAGCCACTGCTCTTTTAGGGATGCTGCTTGGGCTTCACTTTGTGATTAGATTTAATCCGGGATTTAGATTTAGAATTCAGAGTACTCTCCTTGTGTTGTCCATCTGAAAATACAAAATCAGTTAGAATAGTGTAGTAATTACATATTTACTGAGGAGTTTTAAATTTACAGGGCATTTTAAAAGTTCAAAGTAATTTTCAAGTACCCAAGGACTCTAACTCAATAACTTGACTTTAAATTTTAACTGGGAAATAAATGAGGAATGCAGTAGAATGTGAACAAAAGTCCTACCCTAAGATTCAAGCAAGAGATCCCTATCTAAGTCCTGGGCGTCAGAGAGGGTGTCATTATTTGGAAGGCCACTGACCAACAGAGTTGCAATGCACTTGAAGTTGACCAGATGCCCCAATGAGTTCCAGAGCTTTGCCAGCAGGGTTGTCCTGAGGCACTATGGTTGGGCTGGCTTACAAGGGCAGGTTGGCAAATGTATGACTCCCTTTGACTGGTGAAGAATATTTTAGGGGATTTTGAGGGCTCAGATCATTGAATGAAAGCTGATAGTCTGATTTTATGTACATCATGTCAGACCTAGGAAGAATTCAGGGCTTGGGACTCCCAGTTATTCCCCTGGGCTTGAACTATGCATGTATTCTGTGGTGTTTCTTTCAGGCATTTCTATATCTCATCCATGATTCTACCTCTAATCTACAGCATATGAGTGTGCTGAACGTGGGACCTAGTGTCCTTTACTCCAGGTCACCTTCTGTTGGTTCTCAGGGTGAATACCCTCCTTTCTATAACCTCACTCGTCAGGCACCCGTCAGGCATTATTAAGACTTTGTACTGTGACACCTGCGAGGTCCTCTAATTCAGGTCCTCTCCTGCCTCCAGCAGAGGCAGTGACATTGTGCTCTCTCAGGCGGGTCTTAAAGGGTGTGTTGTAAACATCTAATCTGGGCAGGCAGAGTTCCATGCCACGTTTATAACTGGAACATTATTTTGCAGTGAAGTTTGGTTTAGAAACTTTTGTTTGACCAGGAATCACTCAGAAAGAGCCAAGGTTTGGAAAAATGGAGTAATTTTTATGAAAAAAATGGAGTAATTTTTATGAAAAAATGGAGTAATTTTTATGAAGCCTGAATTTAATTTCATGTAATGAAAGGATATAGCTGGTATACAAATACTTTTTATAAGAAACATAAACACAGACTATACACATGAACTTTACCTGATGGTATACAGGAATCAGACTAATTACATCTGTTGAAAGAATTACTGGAGAAGCTCAATATCGGCTGTGAAAACTAGACTAGGTGCTGATTGTGGAAGAGATGATTAATTACTCATATATTAGTTCAAACTAAATCTAAAGAAAAAGAAATCAAATCCACAAGAACCAAAAATTGACCTTGAGTCTATCCTACCTGAGTTTAAAAATCACCTCAGGAACAGGTTTGAGGTCTTGAACACTCATGGAAAAAAAAAAACAACCCAGATGAGCTGTGGGACGATATCAAGAATAATATCCATGAAGAAATCAAGAGGTTCTTGGAAAAACAGATGAGGAAGAAAAGACTGAGATGAATGTCAATAAAGACTGAATACTGCACTAGAGTGATGAGAAGCCAAAACAAAGAGAAAGAATCTGGAAGCTAAGGACCTAAACAGAAGATTTCAAAGGGCAGCTTGTGAAGACAAAGCAAAGTATTATAATGAATGAAATGTGCAAAGAGCTGGATTCAGAAAACCAAAAGGGCCAAATTTGCTTAGTATTTCTTAAGCTGAAAAGGTAAAAAACAAATTCAAGCCTTGAGTTGCAATAATTAAAGATGCTATTGGCAGAATATTGAATGACCCAGGAAGTATTAAAAGAAGATGGAGTATATAGAGTCACTATACCAAAAAGAATTGGCTGACACAGAAGAATTTCATGAACAGCATATGATCAAGAGGCAATGGTGATGAAAGAAGATGTTCAAGCTGCTCTGAAGTAGCTGGCAAAGAACAAAGTCTCAGAAATTCATGGCATACTAATTGACATATTTCAACAGATACTCCTCTGCACGTGCTTACCAAGTTGTGCCAAGAAATAGGGAGGACAACTACCTGGCCAGCTGACTGGAAGAAGTCCATATTTGTTCCCATTCTAAAAAAGAGTGACCTGACAGTGTGGAAATTATCTAACAATATCACTGATATCATGTGCAAGCAAAATTTTGCTGAAGATTATAAAAAAATGACTGGAACAGTACATTGACTGTACATTGACCAATTTGCTTTGTAAACTACAGGCTGAGTTTAGAAAAGGTTGTGTCAGCGAGTATCAGATGGATGTTGGCTGAAAGCAAAGAGTACCAGAAGAATGTCTTATCTGTGTTTCATTGACTATGTAAAGGCATTTGACTATAAGGATCACAAACAATTGTGTCTAACCTTGAGAAGAATATGAATCCCAGAACATTTGACTGTGCTCATGTGAAACCTGTACTTAAACCAGGAGGCAGTTGTCAGAACAGAGCAAGGAAACACTGCACAGTTCGAAATCAGGAAAGGAGTGTGTCAGGGATGTGTCCTGTATACATACCTTTTATATCTATTTGCAGAACAGATCATTTGGGAGGCCAAACTTTATGAGGAGGAATGTGGCATCAGTCTTAGAGGAAAATTCATCATCAAGCTATGTTATGCAGCTGACACAACCCTGCTTGCGGAAACTGAGGAGGACCTAAAGCATTTGCTGCAGAGGGTCAAGGACTGCAGTCTTCAGTATGGATTGAAGTTTAAAATGAAGAAGACAAAGATTCTCACTACTGGGCCAATTGGCAACACCATTATAGAAGGAGAAGAAATTGAGGTTATTAACAATTTCAGCTTCATTGGCTCCACAACCAACACTCTTGGCACCAGCACTCAAGAAATCAAATGACTAATTGGTCTGTGGAAGGCTGCTGTCAGGGACAGCAGTACTGAAGTACAAAGTACTGAAGACAAAGTACTGAAGAGTAACAATGTCAGTCTGGAGGCTAAGGTATGCCTGATTCAGACCATAATCTTTGCAATTACTTGCTATGCATCAGAGAGCTGGATGATGACCAAAGGTGATAGAAGAAGAATTGATGCTGTTAAGTTGTGGTGCTGGAGGAGTATTGAACATACTATAGACTGCCAAGGGAACAAACAGGTTTGACCTGGAGAATGCGAAACCATGCTGCTCCTTGGAGGCAAGGATTTTTAAGCTCTATCTCACATACTTTGGGCATGCGGCCAAGTGCTTGGTGAAGAACATCATGCTTGGAAAGGTGGAGTGACAGTACAGAAGAAGTTCCAGGATGAGATGGATTGTCACAATAACTGGGATGATGGGAATAGGTGTGTCAGAGACAGTGAGACTGAGTCAGGATAGAGCAAAGTTCAGAGCTATTGTATACAGGGTTGCTATGAGTCACAGGTATTGATGGTACATAACAACAACACTGTATTTAAGGTTATAAAACAAAGTGTGTATAAATGGTTGCATGGAAAACCAATTTGCTTTGTAAACTTTTCCTCAAACCACAGGAAAAAGAAAGTATCACCAGAAGCAGACTGCCCATCTTTCTTTCAACTACAACCCTTTGATTTATAGCCCAACACTTAGCCTCTTTCTAGGAGGAAAGTGTTTCTATTTTATTTTAATAACTATAAAATGGAGTAACTTTGTGCATTGCTTTATTTTTACATTGTTCAGGACAATTTCCTTAGACTAGATTCATGAAAATGAAAGCATTGGGTCAATATCTACGCATGTTTTTTTGAGGCATTTCATGTATATTACTGAATTATTTTCTAAAAGAGTTGTATTTGTTTGTCCAACTACAAGAATTTTCTTTAAAAGTAATCACTTTGCTAACTTTGGCCACCATTGTATTCTTTCATTTTAAAAAATGTGTGTCAGCCAGTAAGAATGTTACTCTAAATAAAAATGTTGGTTATTATCCGAAAATCATTAGTCATTTGGTTTACACTTTTGCAAATGGTACCAATAGTGAAGTTATAAAGATAAATGTATATTCATTCTTAAGAGAAACATAAACTAGTAGATCATCTTAAAAGAAACTGATGTTCTAAAATATTGTAGCCCAATAAAGTTAACTTTAATAAATACAACCTAAATAAAGGGGAGGAAAGAAAGAAAGAAAGAGGTACACCTTACCTTTCTTTGAAGATTTTGTGGAACTAGTTAATCTTTTGCTTGCTTGTCCTTCTTCTACTCTCTCCTCTTCTCCTCTGTTGCCTTCATCTTCTTTAATTTCTTCTTCCTTTATCTCTGTAGATCTCCTTTCAGATGTGAATCTCATGTCTTCCAATTCCTTTTCCAAATCTTTATTTTTCATAAGGGTAAAGTGAAGCTTCTCATTTGCTTCCTCAAACTTCTCTTCTGCATTTATGGCTCTGTTTTCAACTTCCCTAATGTACACAAAGTCCAGAGAAACACAGCAAAGTAGAAAGGGCTAAACAAAGAAAAGTATTTTTGCTCTAGAAACTCCTTAACTAAACACAACAATGGGACCAGATGAGTACATCCAATTGGCACAGATAAGAGAATGTGAATACCAATGATGAGCCAAGAATTGGGACTCTTGAAGTCAGTTTGTTTCAAAGGGAAATGTGACTTTCCAGTATTTGAATTCTCCTTCAATAGCAAAGGTATTGATTTTTACTTCACTTAATGTATATGACAAAAAACCACCTTAAAACCAACGGTTGTCTCTTTTCTAATACTTTTAAAATAAAATGTAACAATCAGGAAAGCTAGTTTGAGATGTGATTCTTGAACACTAGTGTGCATGTTATATGCCTCTATGCCTATGCTTCTAAGAAACTTGTCATTTTCACTCTCCCTCATCTTTAGGTTTTGTAACACTCCTTCTTGGGTCATAATAGTTTTTCCCAGCTCCATCTGTTGCTTTAAATAATTTCTGAGACTATATAATTTCTTGGAAGCAGGAGCGGCATCCACTTCCAAAACGGCTTGCCTCTGGAAACTCTATGTACGAACAGTGCTCAGGCTGTTCGTTCACAGGGTCGCTATGAGTCGTCTACGACTTGACGGCATTAAACAACAACAACAACAACAACA